AATAAAATATATTATGGACACTATTGTGTTAAAACATTTTTTTCAATAAAAAATTAATTTTCACAAGAATTACTTCCATTATTTTTTTTTATTTTAACTATAATAGTTTATGAAGTTTGAAATTATTTAAATTCTGTTTTTATTTATGCGAGTCAGGTGATATTGTAATTAAGTAAAACAATATTTCAGTCAGTTATGCTTAGGCAATCATGTATCTTCCAATACATGACTGACAAGGCAGGTTTTTTTTTCCCCGCAGTAGGTTGCCATTTCTTTTTGTGTTAGACCAGTTGCCATCTAAGGCTATACAACCCAGTCTGTCCTGCTATTTACCCATAGCTGAGGGAGATGAAGAGGATTCATACCTTTCCAAAAGGTATTAGCATGTAAGTGAATGTAATGGATTCAACTTGAAAAAGAATTTTGAAATTTTTTGGTGTGTATAAATGTGCCAATTTTTGTAAATATGGACATCCATACATGACATTATCAGAAAATAAGAGCAGTAACTATCATAAATTTAAAGTGAAAGTACCTAAAATTCAATAAAAACATTAGATGATGGAGAATATTTTCCTAAATCTTTAAGATTACTAGGTAGTCAAAAATGATATAAAAAGGCAGTCATGTTATATTCATCAAATAATTTTTACAGATATTTTCCCCATTAAATTTCTAGCTGTCAATCTATCAATAGTGCTGTCAACAGCAAATAAAAACACCTACCTCTGTTAAAAAATACATTTCTGGTATCTTAAACTAAAAGCAAGTAATATTTGTTTCAAATCAGAATAGTTAAACTTTAAATCAGCTCATATTCCTTAAATAGAGTTTCAGAAAAATATATTTTTGAAAGATTTTTTAACAAAGAGAATTACACTGTGCTAACAAAAAAAAAGGGACTAAAATCAGTGATTTTTAATGATTAAAAAAAACTCTTTACAGTAAATTTTAATTAGTTTTGAAATATAGCAAAGTATTTATTTTGCTTATTGAAAATATTAAATTTAATCTATTAGCTTGAAATTAAAACTAAACTAAAAACTTCAAGAAAGATTTTTCATTTAAAAAAATTCATTTATACCTTAGGTATCACATTTCTTTTGATGTGTGTGTATATATATATATATATATATATATATATATATATATATATAATTCATGAATCATTCACACAAAAAACAAATATAGAGGTTAATGATTTAAATGGTGAGAATACATCTTTGCAAACTATATAAATGAGATACATCAACCCCAAACCTGTATATGAATGATATGATCCCTGTTCATAAATTCCAGTTGCATAAGGTCTTTTAATTTTAAAGAAAATTTAAATTTTAAGGTTGCACATTGGATCAGTTATTTTAATTTCAATTAAAGGTGCAAATTATAATTTATAAATTCATGAATCATTCCCACAAAAACAACTTTCGGATAATAAGTGTGACATTACTGTAATTATTGAACAATATAGTTTATACCACATAGACGGAAAATCTACCAGTAAAAAGAATTCTCTTTTGTACAAAAACGCACAACCTTAAAATTTAAATTCAAACTCAGCATTGCGACCGCAGTTCAAAAAAAATAACACATTTCTCATAGCATTTTTTGGATTTCATCTCTATTTTCGTTGTCCTCTTACTACCGAGAAGTAAAAACAAGAACAAAATCTATTTCCATACCTGAGGATGTCTGTAGGAACAGACGAAAGCTTGTAAAAATTAAAAGACCTTATGCAACTGGAATTTATGAACAGGGATCATATCATTCATATACAGGTTTGGGGTTGATGTATCTCATTTATATAGTTTGCGAAGATGTATTCTCGCCATTTAAATCATTAACCTCTATATTTGTTTTTTGTGTGAATGATTCATGAATTTATAAATTATAATTTGCACCTTTAATTGAAATATATATATATATAGGTACCGCGAATATATATATATGTATATACTAGGTCAGTCTTGTGGGTAGTTTTTTTGTTAAAGAACATTGAAAATTCTTTGTTTAAGATTTATTTTATTTAAATTTTTAATGGTTCAGTTTAATTTTTGCACTGACTGGATTGCATCAATGTGTGCAAATTGTGTTTTCTTTGGAAGTTTTCATGTCATATTGCCACATGTTGGTGAGTATCCTGTCACTTTTTTCAAGTATCACATGACACCAACTGATGCACGAAGCCACAATACTCAAAAACTTCCAGAGAAAACACAATGTATACACATAGGCATAATTGTATCAACACAAAAATAAAATGTCTGATAATGGCTTATGAAAGTTGAAAGTGTTCAGAAAACATTGGACAATTTATGTTCAAATTCAGAAAAATGATCTGAACTGAAGGAAAATAAAAACATCTTAAAGTTATGTTAGTCTTCTAGCAAATGTGCAAAAATTAAAAATTGCTGTTCAAATATATCCTCTCACTCCCTCCACAAATAAAATTTGTCACTTAGCTGATTGATATTATATTTCAGCACTTAGACTCCAGAGTTTCATAGGACAAACCTTTTTATCATCATTGAATCCACTTGTTAGGTTTCACCAATGGGTGAATACACTCAAAATTCACATATCATAATAATAATAAATATAACAGAATTAAAGCAACACCCACCCACTTTCTGACAATGGGACTCAAGTTTGAATCTCACCCTATATAGATGGTGGGTAGAAAGAACTCCCTATTGGAAATTACTTATACCTTTTGTTAATATCACCGCATCTGCATGAACCAAAATATGTGATCCCTAAAGTGGTAGAATTTTATTGCTAATTTCTGTTATTATTTCAGAGTGACAAGTGTAGCCCAGGATGGCATAAGGCCGGAAACTGCATGAGCAAGATCAGCAAACATCCCATTACGAAGTGTGACAGTCCATGGTACAAGCACAGAGATGGTGGTGCAGTGTTCATGGACATTGTACTTCAGTAGATGCCAAAACCATTAGAAATTGTCATTCTCTTCAGATGAGTATGAGATGTGGTAGATACCCACAGAAGCAGTTGTTCTTCAACATTCAGATTGGAAATAAATATGCAAAGAGCACAGGAAATGTCCAAGGATATACACAGGTGATTACAAACACCGTTAGACAACACTGGTGCCTATGTAGAATTTTAACACTGTGCGGGACTGCTACCATTATATTCTTAAAAATAAAATTTTAACTTTATGAAAATTAACCAATAATTAATAAAGTTATTAACAATTTTAAATGGGGAGTTTCTTTCTGCCCTGTGTGTGTGTGTGTGTATATATATATATATATATATATGTGTGTGTGTGTGTGTGGACAGTGAGGTCAATACTCAACAGTGACAGTCTGTTCCATGGCCTAATGATTGTGTTTAAGCATGAAACAGACTGTCACCACTGGATGTTGACCATAATGTCCATTTTTATATTTACATACGTTCTCTCCCTGATATTGAGCACTTTAACTCCTAAATATACCATACTTTAAAACTATATTTTTATTACACACACACACATACACACACATATGTGTGTGTGTGTGTGCATGTGGGAAAATGGTTAAAACTTTCTGACCATGAGACTCAGGTTTGAACCTCACAATGGTCAATTTTTCAGGAGGGTGATGTTGATCTTATCAGCTTGGGGAGGTGATCCTAGTATGTGGCATCTTTGGAAAGTGCCTGAAAACCATACCATGGGTTGACACAAGCTTTGTGAGTGAAATTGAGTATACAGAACTGTTCAGAATGTGTTGATGCTTGTGCTAGCACAAAGTCATAAATCATTGGGACTAAGGGTTTGAGTATACTGGCCTTGTTCAAACTGTTGATCACACCAGATATGCTCTCTCCCAGAAACTAAATAAGGCTAATCAGCAGAGTTGCAGTATAAATTATAGATGGGCTTTGTAGGTGCTGAGCAAACACAAATGTGCCTGAGGTGGTATCTGCAACAGGGATTGGTTAGCTGCCCTAGCAAGTGAGTATGCACCAAAATGCTTAACCAGCCATTATATATATATATATATATTTATAATTTTTATCATATAGAAAAAAAAACTATTTTTTATCTAGATGATAAACTTATAATAAATAATTATCACTCTACTATCGGTATTGAGCCCTCTTTTGAATTAATGCTGTGAATGTTAGATTTTATATATTACTTTCATTTTCATTGCATCAGATTTATATATATATATATATATATATATATATATATATATATATATATATATATATATATATATATTTTCATATTACTTTCAAAGTCATATTTACTGGATAAACATTTGAGTAGACATTCCTGTTTTTTAAACAGCGTAAATGTATGTTTACCCGCCTATGCATTCGAGAGTCTTAAAGAAAATGTGCCTTCTGGCAGGGGTCTAACCTGTGTTCCCTGTAGCATAGCGTAGATGGGGCCAGAGGAGCGTTTGCCCTAGGCGCTGAATTTTTAAGGCCACAAAAAATTGCTGGATAAAAAAATTATGTACAAAACTAGAATTTATAACAGCTCATAGCTAAGGAAAACGTGCAATAGTTTAGGTGTATTAGGTGTTCAACACCCACCTCTCCTACTCCACTGTGTGTACGCCTTGCAGGGGAAAATCACCGTATAGCCCAATGTGTTTTTAGACTGCTCAGTCACATTCAAGCACTTCTACAGTGAAGCAAGATTCAATTACCCCATTTAATACTGCTGGAAGAAACCATTAGTGAATTTAAGTTTTAATGAATTTGTTTGATAAATCTTTCCTCTGATATTACATGTTATATATGCAGCTAGTAAGAATATTAAACAATTTTTTTTTTTTTTACAGCTTATCAACTTTTTTGAAGTTATTTAAAGCTGAAACATATTTTGGGATAGGAAGAATTTTTTTGGAATAATGATTTGCTAATACAAGTCTTACTATTTAACCAATAGCTGGGAGAAGACATGAATTTGAATTCGATTTTCTGATTTCTCATTCTGAGCCTTTTTCCATTATACCACCCATACATCTTAGCTTACAGCACCTGGTATTCCCTAGTGGTCACCCATCTAAGTACTGACCAGGTTCAACATTGTTTAACCAGTGATTGGATGAAAACCAGTGTTTTAAAAGTGATATGGCCATAAGCCCGTAGCAAGAATAATAATCAAAAAGAATCAATCAAGAGTGGTTAGATAGATAAATATTAATCAATTGATAAAAAATAATTCACTCAAAGAACAATAATTACTATATTGAATTGCTTATCAGAAGCGCTTTATTTGCAGAAATCACCTGGCATCTCATATACAAAGTTGAGGACTTGTAGATGAACATTGTCTACTGCATTCATTACTATAGGATAAAATTTTACCTCAGAGGGTTCACTTCTATCTAGCTCATAAATAATATTATTTACTTTAATGACATAATTATCATAATCTAATTCTGCTTTTGTTCTCTATGAATAATGAACCATTCCATTTTGATTATGTGGAAAGATGAAAGAAAAAGATATATCAGAGATGCTGTTTGGTTTTAGTGAGAAAAAGAAAGCATACATAATATTTTGTTTAATCATTTCACTCTAAGCAAAGCAATAAAGCCACTAAGACACAGTGGCTGGCTGAGTGTGAAAGAGTATGAGAAAAAAAACACTAAGGAGCTTGAACGGGAATTAAGAAGACAGAAGATAACTAATTGATATTGCCTACAAATTTTTGAAGATCAAAATTGACTGAAAAGCAAGTAACTGGAAGAGAGTTCCACAAGTGAGAAGTGCGAGAGAAGAAACTGCTAGCATAGAACTTTACAAGAAAGAAAGAAAAGGAAGAGAGAGACAATGCTTACATGCATTTAAAATCTGATTCAGTGAAATGGAAAACCTTGTCAATTTCAACATTTTTCATTTGTACCCTCTTCTTTAAATAATGAACTGCATTCATATTTATAATTGTTATAATAATATCTTCTTAAAGTTGTTAAGCTCAAATATTTAACAAAACAGGGGAATTTCCACAGGTATTTTATATTGTGGAACTTGCGAGAAGTTAATTCAATCATTTACTTAGGAATTATAATTCATCAAAAAATTCAAATAGGAAAACCATGAAATTTTTACAGGTACTACTAGTCGTTATTATTATTATTGGTACAGTAAAAGGAATTATTATAATATAGTATAAGCAACGTTTGTCAGCACCAGCTGATTGATTATACCTAATTATACCTCAACACACTATCATTAGTAAGCTTGAAACTACAGAAGGAAGAGCCGTAACTCTATGGCTTGTTAACATTTTACATGTTATTTAAAGCAAGAAAATATTTTAAGATTACAAGAATTTTTTTGGAGATAATAAAGGTTTAGTGATACAAGTCTTACTAATTAACCCATGGCTGGAGGGAGAAGTGGTCTATTCATACCTTTCCCAATGGTATTTGCATGCAAGTGAATATAATGAAATCAACGGGAATTGGAACTCAGCTCTCCAATTAACAATTCCAAGCCATTATTCATTACACCACCAGCATATCCAGGCTTACAGCATATGGTATACCCAAGCAGTCATCAATCTAGGTACTGACCATGCTTGACACTCCTTAATGTATGAATGTAAGAGAACTGAAGTTTCAATGTAGCCGTAAGCCTTTTCACCTAAGAGGGAGTGAGTTTCAACCTGCAAAAATATCTGAAAAGGTGTGCTAAATTAGAAAAGGTTAAAAATCACTTCAGTATTAGGGAGTTTGGAAAATAATGTCCAATTTTATAATCAACTTTTATTTTATATTAACATTTTTAAAAAGTATTTAAATCAGTCTATATAGGAACTCTGAACATCTATACATTTCTGCCATTAAGTTATTTATGCCTTTACGGTAAAAAGCTAATGCAGTGATTCTCAACTGCTGTGCCACAAGTGTGTCGCAAAATATTGTCACAGCATACATATATATATGTGTGTGTGTGTGTGTGTGTGTGTGGAAGTAGTAATGGTACAGTATTAATATTTGAATAGATGAATAAGTATTAAACTTTTTTTAAAATAATTCTTTTCACTATTACTTGATTATGTTATTTTAAATGCTTTGTTGTAATCTTCATTTTTAAAAAAATATTTTTAGTTTTTAATTTGAAGAAATTGAAATATTACAAAGTTTTGGGATTTATTTTACAAAATTTTAACCAGTAAAAAGCCTGAGAGGCATTCAAAGTAGAGGGTTATAGTTAAAAGAAAGATAACAACTGACCTTTGACTTGAAAAGGTCAACATTGACGTGTCCAGGGAAGCATCCATTCAAAAATGGCAGTTCTTTAGAAAAACTTCATATAACTTACATTTGGCATGGAAATAATGATCAAGTAATGACAAGAATAGTATGTTGAAAATAGTGTCTGATCATTGCTTGCCACATGAAACTTTTAGTCACTATTTTACAATGGTTTTATTACTTTCTTCATATTTATTATACTTGTATATCATGCAATGTTTGAAGAGCTAATTTGACTACAGTAAATGGATATATAATTTGGTCAACAGTGTAGCCAGGGCCAGCAGTACATATGCTAATTTTATATCTTGTGTATGATGCAACACCCTCAAAATTAGCTTCAAAATTAGGTCTTCAAAGTAACATGATAAGCATATATATATATATATATATATATATATATATATATATGGCGATGAGACAGCAGACTTATTATTTTAGCTGTTGGTAGAGAAAGATTTATCTTTGATTGTATTAGGAGCAACCTCAATAAAAGATCATATAAACATAAAAGGGACATTTTACAAAATAATAAAATAAATGTGTTGGTTGCCCACCATAATGAGACTGACCATAAATTTCGCATAAAAAATGCTACTCTGATCAAAGGATAAAATAATTCCCTATGTTGTAAATATGTAGAGTGCATTAATCACAAGGTCATCTCCAGTAAATTTGTGCCTTGGCTCTTACAACATTTCATTATATATATATATATATATATATAAAAAGGGACATTGAAATCAACACTCAGAGGCAAGTCAGTTTCATGCTTAAATGTAATCGTCAGGCCATTTATATATGCCCTACCCCTGATATGGAGCATTTTAACCCATAAATATTGCATACCTTAAAACTATATTTTATCATATATATATATATATATATATATATATATACACATATAAAATCAAACATTTTTATTGCTTCAAATGTTATTTTTAGTGGATACCTGTATTTGAGTAGGCACTCAGTTTTTTTAAACAGAGCTTATTTTGTCTACCAGCCTGCACACGTGAGAAAACTTAATAAAGAAAATGTGCACTCTGGTCCATTTGAACTGGTGTTCCCCTTTTCAGGAGGAACCACTGTCTCATTCAGCAAGCTTTAACTGCTTGGCTATGGAGAACTTTACAGTCAAATAAACTGAGCAGATATGACTCTCTGAGAAAATCTGAACAAGTGAATGTGAAAGCAAGCATATCTGCTTAGTGTTGTATCCAAAACATAAACAAAGCAATTTCCAAAAATGGATTTTATTTTTAATCTGATATATTTTTATTAATTCAAACATTATTATTAGTTAATCCTCTCTGTCTCTAGTGAAGCACTCTGTAGCTGAAGTCCTAAAGCACACTGGATCAGATGGTGGTTTTTCTGCAAAGTGGGGGGATGCAAGTTCAAATCTGGTAGGAGGGCACATTTTCAAATTTTCTTAAGTACGCAGGACAATAGACAAAATAAACACTGCTTAAAAACATGGCACCTAATCAAAATACAGGTATCCACTAAAAATTGAAAAACATATATATGTAAATGTATGAACTCCATTATCCCTGCAATCTCCCATCAACAGACATCTTGTTTGATTGCTGGAATGTCCAGATGGCTGAAAAAGAAAAAAGTAAGGGAATTCATATTTGAACAAACCACTATCTTGCATGCCCAGTCAGTAGTAAGTCAAATGCTGTTATAGTATTTATCAACCTTAACAATTGATAAATTATATATATATATATATATATATATATATATATATACACACACAAAAAAATTACTGAGATTATGTCTGCTTATTTTTAATAAAATCTGTTCATATTCATGGATAACCTTCCACATATTGAAATTATATATAATGTGAGAAATGTGCTATCATTTAATTGCAATACATGGAAGGTTATCTGTGAGTATGAATAGATTTTATTAAAAATAAGCAGACATAATGTATGCAATTTATTTAATCAGACATGCCTAAAAGAGAATTTGCTGCCTAAATACACAAATAAATATATATATATATATATATATATATATATATATATATATATATATATATATATATATATATATATATAAGGACAAATGTGTATTTGTGTTTATGGGCAGCAACCCCTCTTTTATATATGTTTTATTAAAGACAACTGACAAGGTACGGCAATTAAGCTTTTTATTCAATTTTTCATACGAATGTTTCCTTTTCTGGATATAGTATATAAAAACTACTTGGATATTCTCTATATCACAGCACTTTTAGCTATTCTATTAGCCATTATCGAGGATATTTTTAACTAAATATGTAGATTTTTATATACGAGTATCTAAAGTGACAGGGAATATTTTTTATTTTCCAAACATGGCCAACACATTGTAGCTGTGCTTATAGATGATATTGAGTGTTGGCTTTTTCTTTTTTCATTATTAATACTTTCATTATTTTTAGCCTTTTTTACATGTGGATGAGGTTATTATAGTTGTATTTTTTATGAATATGTTAACAGTTTCAGTGTGTTTAAATAGGTCCTATGGCCAGAGAGATATAACATGAGTCTTCTTGATAAGCATGCAGTGGTATGGCCAATATAATTATTCATCAATTTAGTTTGATCAGGAATGCAGTTTCCTAAAGGACATGTGAATTCATAATATATATATACCTACATTAAATATGTAAAATAATAAATCAAACTGCTGAGTGCCTAAATAAGCAATCTAGTGTTCCTAGCACTTGAAGCCTGAAGGGCTAGGAAGTGAAAGTTAACTTGTGAATAAGTTGCTGTATTTTTAAGTGTGCATGTCTGCATTTTTTGCTTTTCTCTTTATCTATAATTATAACAAACGTTTTCTACTTTGTTCACTCCCCATAAAGGTGCAGGTGTGGATGTGATCAATACATTAATATTTGGCCTGAAGAAGTTCTTTTGAAGGATGGGTTTTTTCCTTTTTTTGTCCTACAAGTACTCGTTTTAATCTGACAAAGTTTACATATCAATACCCCCCCATATAGCTAGAGTATATTAATTCATTTTTATTTTGTTTTATAAATAAGTGGATGTTTTTAGTTAAAAGCAAAAGGGGAAAAGGAAGATATTAACGATCCTACATAAAAAAATCTTTAATTTCATTTTCTTTCATCTTTCTTAATGACTTTTTTTGTTTTGAAATAAAGCAAATATTATTACCATTTCGTCTCAAAAGTGCTTTTGCCTGGAATTTATTATTTTTTTAAATTTATTTCTTCCGATCAGAAGCAAAAATATTATTACTTAGAGCTACGAAAGTTAGGAAGTTGCGGAAAGCCATGATCGCCAATGACCTGAACGGACGCAGCATATAAAGAACAGTACAAGTTTGATTTATAAATAAACAATGAAATATTAATAACAATAACATCCACCATACTGTTTTTAATTTAAAAACAAGAAAGTATAAAACATTATTAAATATTGAGTGATTACAAGGGTAATCACTGGCATGATTCAACAGTCATTCTTTGTTTCCAAATGTGATGATGAATAGTAGTGTACTTAGTGTATGATTTTGTAAACAATATAAAAAAAATTGTAGTATTTCGATACCTTAAAGTAGCTTAAAAAGTAACTCAAGAATTAATTAAAACAGAATAATATCACAAAAAAAAATGCTTGTATATTTTAAAATTTTGTTTTAAAAAAATGCAGTGTAAAAACATTTTTTGTTAGTTAGCAATTGATAAGTAAAGAATTGATAAGTTTTTCAGTTTTCTTAATTCTGTTTATAATTGTTTTATGCTTTAACTTCAGTAGAATGAATCAAAAAGAAGACTTTCAAATACTTGGATAATTAATATTAAATTACTAACCAGAAAATGTCAATTTTGTTTGTTCTTAAAATTCTTCTATTTTATTTTTTTTTAATAATAGACTATGTTTTAGATTTAGAAATTAATCAGCAAAATACAAGCAAAAAAAAGCGTGATTTTATTTTCAATGTTTTTTCATATCAACTGTCAGAAGTGAAAGCGATTCGTGTTGCTTAGGCAAGAACAACAGGTCTGGTAAAATAACACAAACTAAAAAAATAAAAATACATAAAAAAAAAGAACCATGGATTTTTTAAACTTTATCCACTAATCGAGAATTAAAAAAAAACTTGTTTTTATCTAAAAAAAAATTTCAATAAACTAAAAATAACATTTGTGAAAAGCATAACGCTTAAAAAGTTATGCAAATATTTTAGATTTCAAAAAGGAAGAAAATTATAACGCGAAAGCTGTTTTTACCAAATTTAAAAAAAAGTAAAACCTAACGTATAAACATGTTTTTTTATTTATTAATGTTTCAGAATTTTTCAGTTGGAAGCTTTTTTTTCGTTATTTAATGAATTATAAATTAGAGATTGTTTACTTTTAAAGTTTAATATTCTAATTTTGGTCTTTTCTTTTTTCATGAAAAACTTTCAACCTGCACAGAACCAATGACGCATTGCTCAGTCTATAAAAACAAAAGAATTAGAAGTTGTTCAATTTACTTAAATGATCTTTTAGTATAATTTTACTTCATTAGAGTTTAAAAAAATGAAATTAAATGTTTATTCATTTTTAATTTTTTAAAATATTTATAAATTATTTCCATCAAGGTGAGACAATAAATAGCTTATTTTGTAAATTAAAAGTTATGAGCAGACTCAAAAGCTTATTTATTCACAACCAGAACACGATTTAACTATAACTATTAAAAAAAAAAAATAGAGTGTGTGTATATATATATTAAAAAAAAAAAAAGTTAAGTTTATATACCAATAAAGGAGCACAAAGAAAACGTGGCATCTCCTTCGACCACTCACTTCCAACTGTTAACTCCCCTGCTAGTTCTGCAGCATGCGTGGAATTGGTCGGGCAAGTCACGTGATTAATTAATTTCCGCCTAGCATAATAATTTTTTATTATGACTGTAACAAATAAAGTCGCAATTACTGTTCATTTTTATTTACAAACATTTTTTTTTAATTCGTAAAATATTTTTTAGCGTGCGCAGAAAATTTAACCGTACCCAAAATTCCCCGAGTTTCAAGTTAGAAAAAGAGAGAGTGTGTGTAAGAGAGAGAGAGAGAGAGAGAGAGAGAGAGAGAGAGAGAGAGAGGAGAGAGAGAGAGAGAGAAGAGAGGGGGGAAAGAACGGAGTTGGGGAGAAAAAGAACGAAGGGGGGAGGCTTTTTCCCGCTAAAAATCCTCTTCATAATATCCCGGATGTAGTGACTGGCACATGCGCATTGAGGTCAGATCTAGGCGTTCAAAAGGAAAGGAGTGATATACCTTCCTGGTATGTATGACTTGGATTGTTTTGGCCACAAATTGTCTGAATGATTGTCCATCTCTTCTTGCTAATATGTGTCTCAAGCTTGTTTATTTGTCGCGTCTCGAATGCCCTAAGAAGCGCCGAGAAGTCGTTATTGTTGCTATGATTAAATTTTTCAAAATGGCGCCTTTGCTGTCAACAATTCTCTCTCTTTATCTGTTTCATAAATGCCGAGTTTTTCCTTTTTACCAACTTCATTGTGTGTTGTGTGTCCTTTTTCTTGGCTTTCCCACGATGCGTCTTTTCCCTTTCTAATCTCGTTCTATTTTAACAATCTATTCTTCCTTTCCTTATGCTTTTTAACTGGGAATTTCTTTTATACTATTGAAAGAAAGAGGAGAAAAAAAAAAAAAAAAAAAGCTCGATTGACTTTTAAAAAACCGCCCAATTTTATCCCCAGTGCCTCTATCTTTCGTACTAATTCGCAAAAGATAGAAAATATTTTATAGGTAAAAAAAAAAAAAAAAGTTTATATCAAGAAGTAGTTTTATATTTTGTTTAAAAAAATTTTAAATATTGGCAAAGTACATTTTGAAGCCATTTTTTTTTTTTTTTTTTTTTTTATTTACCGCCTATTTTTTTTTTTTTCTTTACTATTTATTTTAAATCTTCGGAAAATCCGATCGTTTATGTATAGCTCTTTTTTTTTCTTATTGATGAAACGTCCCCCTCTTTTACAGATTTTTTTTCTAGCATTAAATCAGCAGTAACTTTTTTTTTTTTTTTTAATAAAATTTATTAACCATCTTTTTTTTTTTTTTTTTTTTTTTTTCAACATTTCAATCTAAGATCTATTTAATTCAGAAAATGTATTTTCTGAATTTAATTCTATATATTAAATACAATTGCACTTAACATAATTTGGCACTTAAAAGTTGTTTTAAAATTGATACACATTTTATAAACCAATGTGTCAAAATTGTCACTTCTAAAAATCGCTTCAGTTCGAATGTGATTTCATTTTCGCTCTTAACCAGCTTCTCATTTTTAAAACTTGAAATGTTCATAGAAAACCTTTTTTTTTTTTTTTTTTTCTTTTTTCTTCCCTCCCACCCTTGGAAAATCTCAAGATACTAATTTAATTTCAGACCCACATTTTGCGTTTAACATTTGCCTGTATGCAGAGATATGCCCAGGTCTAAACTTTAAAAAGAAAAAAAAGGCCTTTAGTGGAACTTTTTTCACTTTGTATATTCGCCTGTTTTGTTTTATTTCTCTAAAACACGTAATTGCGCCCAAGATGAACCTTTATAAATTTTACCTTTTTTAATTATATTCAAATTGGAGGGAAAACGGCTTCCGTAGTTATTCAATTTAATGATACTTAAAATCGTTAATATTTATATTTACGCTAATTTTAAATTTATAAATAAACTTGCATATTAGTACAAAAATGTTAAATATAACGAATGATTTCTTTTTAATGAGTACATTTCTCTTTTAAAAGCACTTGCTTGACCTAATTAATCTTATTCTTAAGCACTTCAATTATCCATATTTTGGGATAACGTAACAATTATTCGTAAAAAACTCTATTTTAAAACACAATTTTTTAATTTATATTCCGTGAGTGATTTTTAAAATCCTCTCACACTTTTTTTTTTTTTTTTTTTTTTTTTTTTTAATACCTCCACCATGTGGTCCGATTTCGAAGCCGCCAATTCTTTAAGAAAATTTTCTTTATTTAGAGATGTTCAAATTTTGTTTACAACAAATCAAATTTGGCAACATATTAATATTTGCACATGCCATTCTAAATTTTAATCTTTAGTAACTCAAATTGAAGTAAAACAAATGCACTTAGTTTATTTCTTTTTCTTTTTTTTCTTTTATTGTGAAATGAATACACAGCACACAGGTTTAGTTTCTTTACTGTATTTCCTTGTATTTGTTTTGAGTATCGTGGTGAAATTTTTCTGTTACCACTATTAGGTGTATTACAATTGATATCACTTTGTTTTTGGTCTATTTTTTCTCGATTGAAGACTCGCATCTCGGTATAAGGTAGGCAAATCTTGACTCACCTTCTGCATCCAAGACAATCAAGAGCCAAATTATTAGACGTACGTATGGCTTCAGAAATAGCTTCTGAGACCTCAACTTTTGGCTTGAATTCAAAAGAAAAGTAAGTATTCATTAATGTATGGACCTTTTTATATAGAACCTATTTCTAACATTTTTCAGATGCTGAATGGTGGAAGTTTGTGGTCAAGGTTGAAATTAAAGTTTAGAACAACCAACAAAATCTAAATAATATTTTTTTTTTTTTTTTTGTATATTAGAAAAAAAAATAACTTCATGAAATCCCTTGTCTTTTCATTTTAATTTTATCGCTCAATTATGTACAAATTTATCCAATAGATTGTCGATGTTATGAGAAAAATCGATATTTTTACAAGTTTCATTGTTTTGATCCAAGTGATCAATAATAAATGTTACAAGCTTTTTACTTTTAAGACGAAGAATCGGCAAAAATGAATGCTTTGTGGAGGATTAGCAATTTTGCAACCTATTTCTTAAATATTTGAGTTTTATTTTATAAATTTATATAAATCTACGTTATTGATCGCTCGTCATATCTGCCTTGTTGTTTATGGGAAGCCAATCCCCCAATTTCTGTTACTTTTTATTATCAAAGAAGTTTGTTTCGCTATCGGTGAAAGATGAATGGCTTTTATGTGCAAAAAAGATTGATTAGGTTGAACAACTTAATCGATCAGTTCACTTTGTCAGTTGAGCCGCACATTTTAAAAATGATCAAAATTTAAAAACGTCAGCATCTTAATTTCATAAAATGCTTTCAAACTAAAAATCCTGGTTTGATAGTGGAAGGAGTATTTTATTTGTTTTGAAAATGTAAACAATCGTATTTTCCATCCACGAAAAAAAATAGCCCTGCAGTATTTTTCATTTAATTTCTCCGTTATTTTATTTGTTTTAATTTTTCAAAAATGTAACAACAACAAAAAAAATCGACATAATTGTAGAAAAGACCTCATACGCACCTATATCCTAATATATTTCTAATTCAAATTAAGGAACAAATGAGTGCTAAAAGGTTCTCGTTCAGATCCTATTCTCAAAATTTGAACAAATATCCAAACTCTTATATTGGAATTCTCTTGGATCTGGCCGACTACTTTTCAGCACCCCTTCGTATATGGTTTTATTTCACTTCCTCTCTTTAATCTTCAAATGTCTCCAGATGAACACGGAATTGCATAATTATTTTGTTTAAACTTTTTTCCGTCTGGGTCAAGATGCGGGTGTAATGCTCAGTCAGTTTCTTTTAACGTGTATTAGTTTTATTTATTTTTAATGCATGATCATTATTTAATTTCAATAACTTTAGTAAAGTTAGATCTTTACTATATCAAGTTTTAAACAATATTGCCATAATTATGTCGGGGGGTGGGTAAATAGCTTATTTACTTTTTATTGATGTGGTGAACTTAAATTAACTCTGAATTTTGTACTTTGGGTATTTTAAATCAGTGTTTCTTCAGAATTTGCTGAAATGTTATTTTCCTTAATATTTGATTCTTCCGCTCCCATCCCCCCCCCCCATATTTTTTCCTTTCAACGTTTTGTGGATAAAAATCAGATTCTCTTGCAAATCATTTTCATTAAAGTCTTAAATTATTCGGATTTTTATCTTCTAATTTCTATTCAGACAACATTTTAATTTCAATCTGTAAACTTTGAAAAATAGTTTTCCTTTAAAAAGTTCTCTTCCTCTCCCCCTCTCCCCCCCATCTTGGAATACCATTCAATTTTTTTCCATATGTAAATTTCGATAATTATTTGGGTAACTAACCAAAAAAAAACACTTTCAGACTTAATTTATGATGAAGTTAATCATAAATTAACGGTAATTATCTTTTAAATATTAAAATCGGGAGAGGAAAAAAGGAATACTTTTGACTTCAAGTATTTATGAATTTATCCAATCTTATAAAACTTTAAATATGCTGATTCTTATACAATTATCATCAGGAAGTTTCCTATTTAAGTTTTTCTTCAAAAATTTGAAGTAATTTATTTTTGTTTTAGGTCAAGTGAAAAGACATCCATGGCTTTGGAGAAAAAACCTAGTTCAGGACAGGTATATTTATTTTATTTATTTGTTGAGATTTGAAATACACCCTTTCTTTGATCTCTATTATATTCTGGCTGAAATAATAATTTCTTTTCAGCCTAAAATGGGTAAAAAGAGCAAAAAAGATTTTGAGGAAACCCCTGAAGAAGAGGAATTAGGTGAAGAAGAATACACTGTTGAAAAGGTGGTTGATTCTCGGATGAGAGGTGGACGGCGAGAATATCTACTGAAATGGAAAGGATATCCAGAGTGAGTTCTCCTTTACTTAATTACACGCTCCCTCTCCCATCTTCTTGTTATTGGGTATTTTTGCTTAATTTAATTTATTTAATCCTCCCAGTTCTGAAAATACTTGGGAACCAGAAGCCAATTTAGACTGTCCAGATTTAATATCAGAGTATGAAGAGAAACAGAAAAAGAAATTAGCAGAAAAAGAAAAGAAACGGAAACAGAATGGAGAAGATGAAAGTTCTACTAAGAAAAAGAAAAAAATTGCTGAAGTTAGATCAACAGTAAGTCTTTTTTCTTGATTCTTTTCTTCTTTTTTTTTTTCTTTTTTTTATCTGGCAACAGTTTTTTATTTGTGACTACATTAAATATTCCGTGTTACAATTAAGCAACTGTCCTGTGAAGAAAAAAAACAATAGGACCTAAAAGATCAAAGTATTGATTTTGATCACTTTAACAACCTGAGCGATTTGTGAAAATACTAAATCCCCAGTGTAGTCAAATTGATTCTGAAGATGGTGAATAAGTTAGAAAAACAAATCAAACGTGCTTTAAAATGTATTTCATGATTTAATCAGGAGTTAATCACTGCACTCAATTCTCTGGTGTTGCTTTGACCACATTGCCTCTAAAACAACTTTGTGACCAGCTACTCTGGAGTTGCATCAATGCCACCAAGGGTGAAAAAAAAAAATACAGGTAAGATAAAATTCTATTTATCTGTTTGATTTTCTATTTATTGGTATATTATTTATCGATTTTTTATTTTATCTTTTTAATTTTAATACAAAATATTGGTGTTTAATATTCCTTTTTTGTTTCTTTTTCCAGTTCTTGGAAATTAATCAAGGAAGTTGAGAGCTCATCCATAGCTCTAATTCTAATGCAATTAGAAGTGATTGTTGCCCTTCCTCCCACCCTCTTTTTTTTTTTTTTTTTTTTTTTTTTTTCCCCTATAAAAAAAAATCTGGGCATTTGGGAATAATAGAGGTATGTTTATTTACTTATTTTTACTTTTTCCGTTTTAATAGTTTTCCTTCAAATTATCTTTGTAAATTCTCCTTTTACTTTTTTTTTTTTTTTTTTTTTTTTTTTTTTTTTTTTTTTTTTCCTTGTGTAGAAATTGAGTTGCAAGAAATAATTTTTATTTATTTTTATTTCTTTTTGTTCTAGGGTTTGCAAAAGCAACTGCCTTGTCCAGCAGGTAAAGTTTCCTTTCTTTAAATCATATGTATTTAGTTTCGATTTTTAATTTTGTTTGCTTCTCTGGATAACAATTTTTTCTTTTTTCTTTTCAGTGCTTCAGGATGCAAGTCTTGATAGGGTGGGGGTGATTAGTGTGCAGTTGGTGCATAGTCGACAAACCTTGGGACTTGGACTTAATATTGACCATAGTGTGGAATATTTGTTTGCTTGTTTTGAAATTTAAATAATTACTGCATGATTAAGGCTTGAAATTTCAGTTTATGAACCAAACTTAGAATTTTGTGATTATATGAACAAGTAAATTTTGATAAATTGGATGTAATTCTTTTGATGTACAAATTGTTTATTTATAAGGAAAGGTTTTATAAAAAAAACTGATTGGGAAAATTCATTTGCATTTGTTTTTAAACTTATTTAAAACTTTTTTTTTTCTTCAATCTTAAATAACTTCTTATAGAATTTTCATTCCGAAACATTTAGTTCTAGTATTTTATATATAATATATATGCTTGTTTGGTATACACTTTAAATCGTAGCCGATCTTGTATCGGTTTCAATCTCGCTTTTCATAATTTGAAAGCGTGATTGCTCCATTCGGGCAAGTAGTCAGTTATCCCCCTTGTTTTAACAAGGGACATAATCTGAAAGTCTGCAATTAGCATAGGATTTTTTTTTCTCCCGATAAAAAAAAAATGGAAATTCTTACAAAAATCAAATTCTGATTTTCAGACTTGTTCACTTAAGTTTGTCCCAAATTCAGAAAAGTTAACTCTACCCTTTTCATATTCTCTTTCTTCTCCCCCCGCCTGACACTGTTTACCAAAAATCTGCTCTGAACCATAAAATAGTAAAAATTAGTTACTTTTATGAGTATTGACGGCAGTGTTGGAAAAGTTTTTTGTTTTTTTTTTTTTTTTTTTTTTTCTCAAATCATTACTTTTATTTTAAACTAGTTAACATTACTCAAAGATTTTAATATTGAAACATTTTTAATAAAGAGAATTACATTGTAATAAATGCAAGATGAAAAATGAAGCTAAAATAAGCTTCAAGAAAGATTTTTCAGTTCTAAAAGTTAACTTTAAAACTTCTCACAAATCTGGATATATATATATATATATATATAAAAAACTATATTTATGTGCTTTAATATTTTTAACAATTGTTTAAGATGTTAGTAGATCTAGTAGATATTTTTCTTATTTTTGTAGATTTTTAACTATAATTACACCTCCATAACATGGAAACTATTTTGAATTATTCCCTACATAATCTTGTACACTCTTTTTTTTTTTTTTTTTTTTTTTTTTTTTTTGCTTTTCTATCCTCTATTCTGAAAGCTCTTCTAATGTTAGGGCTTTTGACCCTCATCACTTGTTAGCCATTTTATTTTGCTAAATTTTGTGGCATACCCTAAGATACAGAAAAGATTTTTAACTTGAAATTGTTGAATAGAATTGGGATATTATGAGTTGCTTTGTGTTTTTTTTTTGTTTTGTTTTTTTTTAAACATCTTTCATCAGGTCCTAAATGTGTGTGTACCTCCACTTTTTCGGCATAAATTTCCGATACCTGTTTAAAATAAATTTTTTAAAATGAAAAAAGTCTTAAATTTCATTTTAGTTTTAATTGAAAGTTTAATCATTAAATTTATTTCCATTAAGTAAAAAATTCTGGTGTATTTCAGATACAAACTATACATTGGAATGTCAAATTTAATTTTGATTTCTTAAATTTTCTTAAAAACGGCCATTTTCTTAATTTTAAGAAATTTGTAAACTTTTTTTAAGTTAAATTTGACATGTTATTTTAGTAAAATTAAATTTAATGTTAAATTAATCTGATTTAAAAGAAATATTACTTACGTATAGCAAAGTAATATACAATCAATTATTAACGATTGGTATTGTTATTTTTATCATATTTGATTTGTGTTGATTGACTAGTGATGACAGCTACTACAGATGACTATAAATGAAAACTATTAGAAATCTGAATGAATGTTTTTTTTTTTTTTTTTTTTTTTTTTTTTTTTTACTGTTATGTTTATTAGAATAAAGGGACAAAACTCCTTTTATAATAATGGCAACTTCAGTCTACCATACATGGAAATAAGGAACGTATTAAGTAAAAAAAAAATACAACATAAATTATTTTAAAAAAAAAAAAAAAAAAAAAAAATTAGCACAACTAAGTTTATTAAACATTGCAATTTTGAACTCGTAAATTGTTTCCACTTAATTACTACATCACCTCAAGGACTAATACAGAGCTTTACACGACTTTTAAACTATTATAAATTATTATAATTAAAATTTAAAACAAATGAGAAAATTCTTGTAAAATTTAATTATTCATCAGAAAATATTTATTTCTTCAGACAATAATGACCCTATTTACAAAAGCAATTAAGCTTTTCTAATTAAGTAATATCAGTCTTATTGGATTCATTATTTTTCAATTCAGAGCAGATTTTCGGATAGTTAGCTCAAATTTGAAAAAAAAAAATAGTTGATTTACCATCTCCAATGACTCGTAATTTAAACAAAAAAAATTTTCAGGAAATAGAAAGTTTTTGGCAAAATTCAGGACAATAAGTGGGGTGTAACATATTTTAAAAAATATATTTTTTACCAAAATTTTCTGAAAAGAAATATTTCAAATTTCGTTTATTTGTGAATAAGTCCTGAAAATTTAATTAAAATCGGACAATTACTTGATTTTTACAAGAATTTTAATCAATGTGTTTTCAACGGAAAAAAAGCGCTAAAAAACAATGTTATTTTAACGTCACTGTGATGAGGTAAAACCAGACTTTAACCAAAATTTCAAATGTGTTAAATATTAAGTTTTAAAAAAATAAAAAAAAAATACTTTGGTCTTTCATCTTAATAACATAAGCATTTTGACGATAAAACTTTATTTTTGTTAAGTTTGTGGCCTTTCATTACGCTATACTGTTTTCCCGCGAAAAAGCAGACGTGTGTGTGTGTGTGTGTGTGTGTGTGTATATATATATATATGCACACACACACTCGCGCTCTCTCTCTCTCTCTCTAACTGCATTTACTTTCACTAATGTGGCTTCATTTGTGGTGGGGTGTAAACTACTGAATGATGGTCAGTGACTTAAAGCTATGGATGTTTTGCCAGTGTCATGTGTATGTTTGGAGAGTGAATTCAAATTCGTATATAAAAAGGAGTGTTGAAAATGTTTTTGATTGGCTCGCTTCTCAAAATCTGACCACCTATGACAGATACTTTTCAATGTTTTCATGTTATGCCCACTTGACTATCATATTTCAATATTGTGCATATCTATAGTGTTTTTTTTTTTTTTTTTTTTTTTTTTTTACAGGAACTTGGAAAAATTGTGGTTGTGGTTAAGCTTAAATTTCATTTGTCTGATATGTAATCTTTGTATACTAACATTTTTCTCTTTAAGTTTTTCTTCTCAACTGTCACCTGGAAATGTTCAAATTTGAAATAGTAAACCTATTGCATTTAAGTACATGGAAAGCAATAACTGTAGACTTGATGGTTGTTGGTTCCTTGGTAAGTTTATTTTGATAATGACACTACTACTCTCTAAATGTCTTCCTACTTCCATTCTAGGAGGAAGATAACAAACCTCGGGGTTTTGACAGAGGTCTGCAGCCAGAAAGGATTATTGGTGCTACAGACAGCAGTGGAGAGTTGATGTTTTTAATGAAATGGTAGGTGGTCTGACTCAACACCCCCTCCCTATCTATTTACTTTACGATAAGGTATTTTTCTCAATCTTGCCAGTGGAATAAATTCAGTGCTGAATATTTCAGATGAAACATTCTCCAGTGATAATTTCACACCAATTCAACTCGGTATATCAGGTTTGGAACATTTGAGTCTTTTCATGCATTGCTTTATTCTACTTCATAAAGGGTGTATTTCAAAATCTGGGAATTTGCTTACATTCATTGCTTGGAAATTGTTGGTCCTAGATGTAAAACCTTTATGTGCCCACCCCACCCCCATAAGCAAGGTTTACATCCAAATTTTGATATTGGAAAAAGTATTGTAATTATTCTGAATGGGTTCATTCTTCTGGTAGGGAGGGGACAAATAAACTTGCATGTACACACCTTAAATTGTATTAAAATTAGGTCATATGCTATTTTTATAAGGGAAGACTACTTGTTATCTAATAGGTATAGGTAGTGTGGACATAAAAATCAACACTGCATGATGTCTTTCTAACCTGGGCCAAGACAACTATTGCTTTGACAGTACTCTAATTTTGAACTAAATCATGTTGCAGAAACATTGGATTAAAGTAATGTACAAGTAGGAATATATTTACAAGATAATTATACATTGTTAAAAAGAAAATCAGTGGAATATGCATAGGTAAATGTATAAGTTGTGTGATCTGCAATGACTTGTCAGCAATTTACACAATTGGGCAGGATAAGCCTAGAGAAGTCTAATAAGTTGAAGTTCATAAGTGTA